TGGCAGGGCCGGCAGGTGTGCGAAACCTCTTGCTTTACTCTCTCTCTGTCTCTCTCTCTCTCTCTCTCTCTCTGTCTCTCTCTCTCTGTCTCTTCTTTCCTCTTCCAACTTCGTCATCGTCAACATTTCTGCTTCCTATCCAAAAACAACAGCAGCAGAAACCACAACGATGAATAACCAAGCTCGCTATAACAGCCGCAGAGGCCGAACCCGACGCAGACGCGGTCAGTATATCGTGGGAAACATGGGCCATCCTCATAATGGAGGTGCCCCAGGGCAAGCGCTCGTCCCTTTCCCTCCTCAGTATCACTTGGGAAACATGGGCTATCCTCACAATGGAGGTGGCCCAGGGCAAGGGCCTGTTCCTTTCCCTCCTCAGTATCACTTGGGAAATATGGGCTATCCTCACAATGGAGGTGGCCCAGGGCAAGGGCCTGTTCCTTTCCCTTTCCCTCCTCCTCCTCCAGTTGTGGCATATCCAGCGTATGGACAAGTCCCTTATGCTGCGCCGCAGCAACCATATATGTACCCCCCTCCCTATGGCCCAGCGGTGTACCAAAACGCGGTGCCACTGGGCCAACAACCTCATGCGCATCCCGTGCCTGCATACATGCCTCCTTACCCACAGAGTCAGGTGAATCAAGCAGCTCAAGGTCAAGCATATATGCCCCAGCTCACACAGGGCGGAGGCAATAATCCAGCTCAAGTCCCAGGCCAACATCATGGTCTGCGTTTGCGTCGCCGCTGCCGCCGTCGCGTGCAAGCTCGTGGCCGTGGCAATGGCAGAGGTAACAGGGGACAGCCAAACAGGCGTCAAGCGGGCCGCGACAATAACTCAGCGCGACAAGCAGCGCAAGTGGTTCAGCAGAGTTCATCCGAGGCTGGAGTTGCGGAGAGAAATCCTCTTGCAGCTCTTCCAGTTCCACTCGAACAGAGTTCCGGTCTGGACAGTCGAGGGATCAAGCAAGAGGATACTGAAAATGAATCCGCTCTAGTTGCCCAGAACATCGGGTCTACTGATATTAAAAGAGAGCCGGTGATCAAGCAAGAGCCACAATAGGTTTCTGCCCGTGATTGTTGGACAAGCTATCATTGATCAATCAGGTGTTAACAATTTCAACACGCCATACTTCCACATATTAGTGGATCAGGTAACTGAGAGATATTTCCGTCGGCCATCTGGTTTGGGCATATGCTCAAAGGTCCGGGACCTGAAATATAGACATCACGAGCACATTAGGTGTGGCAGAACTTGCTAACACCAGTGGCCTCGTACCTACATGCGGTTCCTGGGTTCTCGGAGAATACTCGAGGGCCCATGATTCTGCTGAAGCGGTCATGGCCTTCGCAAAGCATGAAGAACATGGCCCAAGTAGGCAATTGAACGATGCTTGCCATTGTGCCTTAAGAATATCCGACGGCGAGGGTAGAAAACAGTAGTGTTTGTTTCATGGCGTACCAGTTCTGGACTGGTGCGCTGACCAAGACATCTCAGTTGAGGCCTTGGTCCTTGCAACTTGACGTGAGGCTTGACAAGGAACATCGGGGAGTTGCAGGAAATAACCCGGAGATTCGCAAACATCACATCAACCATGAACACATGGTTAATGCGCGTATCGGTCATTGAATACTATGATTGGATACAGGGTGTCGCATTTTGCGGAGACCCCGCACGCCATCGCGGGCCAAAGTGATGTGACGGGGAGTAGAGTAGAGTTCCCGATAACTTTATTGGACACCCATGGTTGACGAGACGAAGTTACCTTCTTTGCACAAAATGGCGTGCTTCCAATTTCTACAGCAGCAACCAAGGAGGGTGGTCGGAACTTGTCCCTTTCCGAGGTGCATCGTAGCGTGCTAGCGAGGGAACAGAGTTTATTCCTTGCACTATCATCTCGCAGAGCGGGATATGACACTTCTGCCCTAAGTCACTGCAGTCGATAGCACCAATATTTCGGAAAAGAGATATCCGCCGTTCAACATTGACCCTCAGTAAATTGGAATGTCGGCTCGCCAAGTTCTCCAAAGATTCTTCACCAGCACTGTGAAAACCTGAAATGAAAGCGGCTTGCGTCCAATGTCGAGTCCGTAAGGTATGTACAAACTAACTCCCCGGTACTCGGTCGGTACTAACTCCTGGAGGTCCGATGTGACGGCACAGTTCCTCGATGCCGTACCTGTGAGCGACTCAACTTTCAGTGTTCCTTTGAACAGGACGGCTCCAGTGGCCAGTCTGCGCCTCGTATACCGCCAAAATGTCGTGGTGCGAAAGCCTGTCAAGAATGTCGGGCGATGAAGGTCCGGTGTTCTGGCGATGTTCCGAAATGCACCAATTGTACAAGGCGAAACAGACCGTGCACATATGTCTCAAAAGCTGGGTCATCAACAACTGAAGCTTCGTCGTCTCGAGATGACTCAGTGTCGGTGACAGCATCCCAAGCTGCTATTTCACCCAGAAAACAACGGCCAAGTGTTGCTTCGAGCTCCCAATCAATCCCTTTTGACTCAATCGAAGAAGGCCCACCTTTCATTCCTGACGATGCAATAATATCGCTCGTCAATCAGTACTTCGAGCGGCTCTACCCCCTTTCTGCGTTCTGCTTCCTTCACCGAGCCACAGTCATCCAAAGATGTCACGACAAGACTATCGATCGAGCGCTTCAATTAGCTATTTGCTCTATCACGGCTATCTACTTCGACCAATGTCAGGGAGAGCGCGATGCATGGGCTGGAGAAGCTGAGCAGCTTATACTCGACCGGCTCGAACAACCTTCCATTTTCAAGATACAGGCGTCCCTCCTCCTGATACGATATAGAGCGGCCGTGGGACAGTTCCCCAGGGCATTCATAATGGCTGGACTTGCAGCTAGATGGGCTGCAGCGATACGCCTCAACTACGAACACTCCAGGTTAAGTCCCGTGGCTCAAGAAGTTCGAAGACGAACATTCTGGTCTTTGTCCTTGCTTGAAGATAGCTTTTGCGTTGGCCTCAAAGAGTTCGAACTTTTTGACGCCGACACGATCTACCTACAACTACCCTGCGAAGACGCCGACTTTCAGCAAGAACGACTCGTCCCTACTGGATACTTACAGCCTGGAAAAGGGCTGGAGCCAGAGGTCCTGAGAATTCGGGCTGCGTTTGTGCGAGTGGCTTTCATTCGGAGAGCGATTGTAAGACTCAATCGACGAATAAACGTGAAAGAGGTCAATCTTCCCGAACTCCTCTCGTCGATGGAAAAGTTCCAGAATGATCTTCTTCGCTTAAGGACCAGACTTGCGCCTTGTGATCAATACCCACCCTCATATACACAAGACGTTCATTTATCACCACAATATTTTGTGATGGTAAGCATCATTGCATGACACCCTGACTTGGCTAACTCATCCGAATAGCACATGAACTGGCACTTAACCCACTGCGACCTTTACCGAGTCTTCCTCACTGGATATCCCGAGTCAACACCAGAACCCATGATTGAGGGTATTTCCGCAGCCGAGAAGGGGTTGATGAAAGACAAGTGTCTATCGCATGCAGAACAAATCGTCAAAGTCTTGTCGGACTTTGTGCAGCATAAGGAAGAGAATGAAATACTTGAGTTTGAAGCAGCTATCTGTGCGTACCATGCAGCCCGGTTGGTGCTTTTCGGAACATACACAGGCAAGGACAATACTGGGCTGCCCATGCAGATGGCCATCAACAAGGCACAGCTGTGTCTAGATGTCATCACACGATACTTTGCATTCTCGGAACAACTGAAGTCCATGGTAAGCTTACCCAGGCCTCCTGAGGTTCAAGCCGCTGATATGATGATAGCGGCAAGAACTTGAACGAGTTATCCAGCAACATAAGGCGTGGCTTGAGTCTTCGGACCACCGCGCCATCACAACAACGACTGATCCAAATCCGTCCCAATCTTCGAAGCTCGCCAAAGATGCATACATCCGCCAGAGACTCGCGATACACAGTCTTCTTCGACAATCCGATTTTGTCGACGACAGTCATGACGCAGCTCCTGCAGCTCCACCTGAAGCAGAAAGTGAGCAGCAATCTCCTGAGCAGCAGACGAATTGGGGCATCAGAGACCCTGTTACAGATCAAAATTTGATGTTTGGTCTGCCTTATGGTGGAGGGTTGGATTTGAATGCGTGGGCATCGAGTATGGCTGGAAATCAGGACCTGAATGGGCTTTTTGCGGATTTTGACGAGCAGTATATGTATTGAGTGAAGGAATCTTCTACACAGAATTAATGGGATAATGAATATCATGACACGGAAGTTACTCAAAGGTGTTCTGCGTGGCCCGTCATCTCTGACCCAGTTGAGGTTCGGACATTAATCCATTGCTTCCAAATTGTAGTCGTTGATCTTAGCATGGTGATATTCTCTGTCCGTCTGCTTGCGAAGAGGTTATTGTGAAAGTTGAGCAGGAAGCTCTGAACATGGTGACCCGACTTGGGGTCCACGATAGCGTAAATGATGTTTGTTCGACAACCTCAGGTAGTATTCACCGACTGGCAAGGATGATAATCCTAAAGAAGAGACGCACATTCATCAACAGAGTGAGTTGGAGTCCAGCTGAAAGCCAAGACCTCCAGGTAGCATCCTTTCTCCCCGCTACCGAGACGCAGGGTCCTCATCCGCTCCAACGGACCGGGCCGGACATGGATCAGATACGGGTCTCGGCCGGGGAATATGGCCATTGGGTTGATAGACACATTGCAAGATCTTGGAGCATGGACCCTGAAGGTCTAGGCCTTGGCTTGATGCTTGATCATTTTATATGAATACTTATAATATCTTTATTTTATATATAAATATGTTTATTTTTCTTAGTGGCTTTTCTTTTTAACTGAACAGAGATGTATCCTTATCAGACAGGCAACTTGAAGTGATTAAATTTCATATTAAGCTGGAAACAAGTGTTAGCAAGTTCGAGTCATAATTTAGCCGTTTAAAAACCCTATGATCTGCTCCTCTTGATCATAGAAGGACAAGATGGCAGGAAATCAAATCCCAGATGCTCGTCTAAATGGTCTGAGCTTGATGCTTTGTTCCCCCATGTCTGTACATCTTACAGAATGGGTATGAACAAACTACGACGCACTTGGGTAGATTAGTTTGGCAGCTACTGTTACTCTGACAGCTAAGGTATATTGGACTGCGGGGGAGAGTTGGAGAGCTCCCTCAAGCTATTGCTAGTGCTCGATGATTCAAGTTGTGTGTGTGACCCACAGAATATTAAGGGAGATCGTGTGAGATAGCAATCCAGGTTTTACAACCACCGGACAAAAGTGTCATTATACCTCATTCGCTGGTGAAGTTCTGTCAGGGGTGGCGGCGTCGACGAGCTGGACATCGATAGCGTGGCTAGACCAAAGCCTGGTTTTGATGCCGGGTTCGATCTCCCTTGCACGCTAGTTGTTTAATGCCTTAATTGGATCTTGCGCATCGGCCATCAGCAAAGCTATGAAGAGTTGTTTGCGTGGATTCGTACATAGTCAGGCAGTCGAGATTGGCTGATGATCATAAGATTCGAAGAGATTTAAACCAAGATCACTACCAACGTGATCATGACTGCCATATTGCTGAGATGCGAAATAGTAACTCAAAGACAGGCTGCACCAGATTCTTCAAAGCACATACGCCCACAGACTCTGGGCCACATCCATCTGCAGATAAATCCAGAGACCACCTCGAGCCAAGCATCGCTCAACAGACGCAGCCAAATACGAGCTGGAGGCGGGGGGTAAAACGATGATATTCCGGGAGTCGGAGCGGCCGTCGGATAAATGACGCAGGTGTTGATTGAATGGTGGTAATAGGACAAGCGTCACCCTGCATCTCCGCTAGACACAGGCGCTAACAAGGGGTTTGTCCCTCTTTGCTAAGTTGCTTCGGTTGGTCGCGACCTTGATCAGCTCACTTCGGACCGTCGGTATCCCTGACCGATTGGGTTGTCCTGAAGGAGAGTCTTGCAGTTTCCAAGGATTGAAGGATCGAGATTCGTGCATAGAATTCGCCAAACATGACGATAATTTTTGTCTCTCGTATTATCTACC